GGTACGTAAACGATACAGTAGTACTACAGATACGGTACGTAAACGATACAGTAGTACTACAGATACGGTACGTAAACGATACAGTAGTACTACAGATACGGTACGTAAACGATACAGTAGTACTACAGATACGGTACGTAAACGATACAGTAGTACTACAGATACGGTACGTAAACGATACAGTAGTACTACAGATACGGTACGTAAACGATACAGTAGTACTACAGATACGGTACGTAAACGATACAGTAGTACTACAGATACGGTACGTAAACGATACAGTAGTACTACAGATACGGTACGTAAACGATACAGTAGTACTACAGATACGGTACGTAAACGATACAGTAGTACTACAGATACGGTACGTAAACGATACAGTAGTACTACAGATACGGTACGTAAACGATACAGTAGTACTACAGATACGGTACGTAAACGATACAGTAGTACTACAGATACGGTACGTAAACGATACAGTAGTACTACAGATACGGTACGTAAACGATACAGTAGTACTACAGATACGGTACGTAAACGATACAGTAGTACTACAGATACGGTACGTAAACGATACAGTAGTACTACAGATACGGTACGTAAACGATACAGTAGTACTACAGATACGGTACGTAAACGATACAGTAGTACTACAGATACGGTACGTAAACGATACAGTAGTACTACAGATACGGTACGTAAACGATAAAGAAGTACTACAGATACGGTACGTAAACGATACAGTAGTACTACAGATACGGTACGTAAACGATACAGTAGTACTACAGATACGGTACGTAAACGATACAGTAGTACTACAGATATGTAAACGATACAGTAGTACTACAGACACGGTACGTAAACGATACAGTAGTACTACAGATACGGTACGTAAACGATACACTAGTACTACAGATACGGTACGTAAACGATACAATAGTACTACAGATACGGTACGTAAACGATACAGTAGTACTACAGATACGGTACGTAAACGATACAGTAGTACTACAGATACGGTACGTAAACGATACAGTAGTACTACAGATACGGTACGTAAACGATACAGTAGTACTACAGATACGGTACGTAAACGATACAGTAGTACTACAGATACGGTACGTAAACGATACAGTAGTACTACAGATATGGTACGTAAACGATACAGTAGTACTACAGATACGGTACGTAAACGATACAGTAGTACTACAGATACGGTACGTAAACGATACAGTAGTACTACAGATACGGTACGTAAACGATACAGTAGTACTACAGATACGGTACGTAAACGATACAGTAGTACTACAGATACGGTACGTAAACGATACAGTAGTATTACAGATACGGTACGTAAACGATACAGTAGTATTACAGATACGGTACGTAAACGATACAGTAGTACAGATATTGTACGTAAACGATACAGTAGTATTACAGATACGGTACGTAAACGATACAGTAGCACAGATATGGTACGTAAACGATACAGTAGTATTACAGATACGGTACGTAAACGATACAGTAGTATTACAGATACGATACGTAAACGATACAGTAGTATTACAGATACGATACGTAAACGATACAGTAGTATTACAGATATGGTACGTAAACGATACAGTAGTACTACAGATATGGTACGTAAACGATACAGTGGTGCTAGGCATGTTGTACGTAAAGAAGAAGCATAAAAATGCATAGGTTTGTGTAAATATTTGCCCTAACACGTCTTTACAAGCAATTGTTTTATCTTTGACTGCGAAGGCATAGATCCACTTCAAACATGAGAAAACAGAGATAAGGTTTTGAAGGAGACATACTTATGTAGTTTAATACACTGAACTAGATATTAGGATGTTTTTTTTAAAAGTTTGTCAATTTTTTTTCTTTATTGATAACTGATAATTTGAACAGTTGTTGAAATCACATGGCATTGAAAGATATCAGGTACATATTAAGACACGTGTTCATTATTTCGACGCCAGTTTGAAGAACTCACACCACCGGGGAACAGGTCAGTTAACCGGTAAGTAAAAACAATTTTTCTTTCAAACACTTGTTAATTGCCAGTAACAATAACTAGGATTTGACGGGTTTGTTGACGTTGGAGTAGGTTAAGACAAATGCTTATACAAACAGAAATATCTTTATTGCCATGTTGAACTTGATCAAACTGACGAACCATAAAAGAAAACCTGATCCGTCTTCATTCTGTTATAGGTCTGATACAAAATAGAATATTAAAGAGACAAGTATCGGATTAGCTTATTTATCTACAAGTTTCCTTCTAAAAGTTAGTCCTTCTTTTTTGTGATCAAAAATGCGCGAGCGGTCTTCTCAGAAAGAGACTCGACACAAAATAAAAGCCTTTGTACGAATATCTTTATTTATTTATTTATTTATTTATTTATTTATTTATTTATTTGTTTATTTGTTTATTTATTTAGTTATTTATTTATTTATTTGTTTATTTATTTATTTGTTTATTTATTTAGTTATTTATTTGAGTGTTTAACATATTTCGTTAACATCTTACTTCACGATCTTCTAATTCCATGTTTTTTCCTATGTAAACTGTTTGTTTTACCGAATCCGTGTCTGTCTTGTTTCGTGTTTTACCGAATCCGTGTATGTCTTGTTTCGTGTTTTACCGAATCCGTGTCTGTCTTGTTTCATGTTTTACCGAACTCATGTCTGTCTTGTTTCGTGTTCTACCGAATCCGTGTCTGTCTTGTTTCCTGTTTTACCGAATCCGTGTATGTCTTGTTTCGTGTTTTACCGAATCCGTGTATGTCTTGTTTCGTGTTTTACCGAATCCGTGTCTGTCTTGTTTCGTGTTTTACCGAATCCGTGTATGTCTTGTTTGTGTTTTACCGAATCCGTGTCTGTCTTGTTTCGTGTTTTACCGAATCCGTGTATGTCTTGTTTGATGTTTTACCGAATCCGTGTCTGTCTTGTTTCGTGTTTTACCGAATCCGTGTATGTCTTGTTTCGTGTTTTACCGAATCCGTGTCTGTCTTGTTTCGTGTTTTACCGAATCCGTGTCTGTCTTGTTTCGTGTTTTACCGAATCCGTGTCTGTCTTGTTTCGTGTTTTACCGAATCCGTGTATGTCTTGTTTGATGTTTCACCGAATCCGTGTATGTCTTGTTTCGTGTTTTACCGAATCCGTGTCTGTCTTGTTTCGTGTTTTACCGAATCCGTGTCTGTCTTGTTTCGTGTTTTACCGAATCCGTGTCTGTCTTGTTTCGTGTTTTACCGAATCCGTGTATGTCTTGTTTGATGTTTCACCGAATCCGTGTATGTCTTGTTTCGTGTTTTACCGAATCCGTGTCTGTCTTGTTTGATGTTTCACCGAATCCGTGTATGTCTTGTTTCCTGTTTTACCGAATCCGTGTCTGTCTTGTTTCGTGTTTTACCGAATCCGTGTATGTCTTGTTTGATGTTTCACCGAATCCGTGTATATCTTGTTTCCTGTTTTACCGAATCCGTGTCTGTCTTGTTTCGTGTTTTACCGAATCCGTGTCTGTCTTGTTTGATGTTTCACCGAATCCGTGTATGTCTTGTTTCCTGTTTTACCGAATCCGTGTCTGTCTTGTTTCGTGTTTTACCGAATCCGTGTCTGTCTTGTTTGATGTTTCACCGAATCCGTGTATATCTTGTTTCGTGTTTCACCGAATCCGTGTATGTCTTGTTTGATGTTTCACCGAATCTGTGTATGTCTTGTTTCGTGTTTTACCGAATACGTGTATGTCTTGTCTCGTGTTTTACCGAATCCGTGTATGTCTTGTTTCGTGTTTTACCGAATCCGTGTCTGTCTTGTTTCGTGTTTTATCGAATCCGTGTATGTCTTGTTTCGTGTTTTACCGAATCCGTGTCTGTCTTGTTTCGTGTTTTACCGAATCCGTGTCTGTCTTGTTTCCTGTTTTACCGAATCCGTGTCTGTCTTGTTTCCTGTTTTACCGAATCCGTGTATGTCTTGTTTCCTGTTTCACCGAATCCGTGTATGTCTTGTTTTATGTTTTATCGATCAAGTTTTGCTTCCAACAAACAATATGAAGTTTATCCACGTAGTAATGGTTTTGTTTGTTTATGCGTGTGTGTGTTAACAAACCAATATACAAGATACTTCCTGAGTCCTTCAAGATATATCTTCAATATCTTAACATTATTGTTACACCATCAGTTTATATAGGTGATTCAATTTTTGCGGTCATCGATCAAGGTTAAAAGTTGAAGGTCACATATATCCACTTTCGAAATAAAAGTTACCTGATTTGTAATGAAGGTCCAAACATAATAAGCTCGTTTTGTCACCAAAGATTGGCAATGTGACATTACTTACTTGGATTGACCAACATTACAGGGCAGATGTCGATGAAGCAGAAGACGCTTACTCTTCCGATACGCTTGATCTTAATCCATTTGTGCCTTTCCACGAGTCACGTGACAGTCTTTATTTTGTTCACATTTTGCCCTGGTTTCATTGAATTTGAATCAAGAATCTGTTCACATGTTGATACTTGGTGTTTTTACGTAAACATTTTTACTTATACTTTGTAAGACCCTTTTCCTCTTAATTTTCTGATGCTTGTTATCTGGAATCATGAGCTGTGTACTATTTAACAATCACATCCTTCTCTATGCTACTTTTGACCTGTCACAGTTTAAGTGAAGCAGTTTTGTATTGTAAAGAAATGTGAAATTCGTAAAAATCGTCCAATTCGATATATTTAATGCAGATACAAAATCATAAAAAAAGTTTAAAACCGTCAAGAGACACAAACCATTAACATTTTCATACCTATGGCCGGCCAGTCAATCATGATATTTACAAACTCGAATCGCGTGGTACAATTACTCAGTGATTACACTAATTCCCAAGTGCTACTCATTTTGTCTGTAAAAGTTACAGTCGTAAGCTTAAGTGTCCTGTAGAAATTTCTTTGATTAGGGGGTATTCATGTCATTTAATTTCTCTTTGTAGGTACATCTGTCATGGAGCCTAAGAAACCACCACCAGGAAAGGTAGGTTGGATGTTTTGATGTAAACTTATATAATACACTTCTATATATAGTGATATATGCCCCAGCATAAGATTAGGGAAATGTCAAGGTTGGTAGCCGTGGGGTCAATCACACAAAATGCTGCTTTACACATCAAATAGAATCTGGCTTCAATTTAAGACAATAAACATGGTATAAGAATAGTTTATATATATATGTGTGTGTGTGTGTGTGTGTGTGTGTGTGTGTGTGTGTGTGTGTGTGTGTGTGTGTGTGTGTGTGTGTGTGTGTGTGTGTGTGTGTGTGTGTGTGTGTGTGTGTGTGTGTGTGTGTGTGTGTGTGTGTGTGTGTGTGTGTGTGTGTGTGTGTGTGTGTGTGTGTGTGTGTGTGTGTGTGTGTGTGTGTGTGTGTGTGTGTGTGTGTGTGTGTGTGTGTGTGTGTGTGTGTGTGTGTGTGTGTGTGTGTGTGTGTGTGTGTGTGTGTGTGTGTGTGTGTGTGTTATAATTTCCGTCCCGATAATTGAGACACGACTTGAGCTATAATTTTTGGTAAGCAACATGAACAATATCATACTTGTAATGTAGCCAAAACGATGGAGCATAAAATAGCAAACCTATCTTATAACATTGTTGGGGTTATCGGGCAGATATACTTCCCCTGATTGTGACTCTCTTACTGAGTAAGAGCGGTAGTTTGGTAACAGGGATCTGTGTGACCTTCATTGTTTGTTTATGTGTATTGTATGTAAATAAATATATTTAAACTCTTACAACATGAACAAAGTCATATATATTTTTCTTATATATGTATCCAATAAAATAGAGCAGAAAAAACAAGGAAGGAATTGTATCATAGCCTCAATCTACAGAAATATTTTAAGAATTCTGCGGTCAAGCCATCTAAGCAAGGACTTTTTTTCTATTTTGTTTCAAACGTTAATGCCTAAAAACGATATCAATAAGACCCTCGCGTGAATTTGATTCCAATACATTTAATTTGGTGATGCTGCTTTCTTCAAAACATGAATCTGGTTTTTATCTTGTTATCAGAAGCATACAAGCTTATATAAAATCAGTTATTTATTGTAATATTTCAGTTCGGCTTGATATTAAAATCCCCGTTTGTCTTTTGCTACTTTAAGAATTAACTTTCTTCCAACGCACAGTCATATTTGGTTGGTTTTTCCCTCTTCAATCCAAGTGGCTTAGATCGAAATATCCTACTTTGTAACTTTTCTTATATATTCTTATATATTCTAGTTCCTGGTTTTTCGTTTTCTGATCTCCTGAATCACCTTGTTTTTCTAGATTGGCTATCATGTCTATTAAATTCTCTTCTTTACTTTTTTAAAGGATATGTATGAAATGGTTCTCGCTCGAATTTCCACTAATAAAATTAAATAGTCGACCATTTATTATAAATTGTATATCTGTGTCTGGAATATCATTGATACTGATTAGTCTATATCTGGGCATAGCATACTGTGTTTTTATCCTGCAACCGCTTCGTGTATCAGCCAGTAACTACTGCCAGATAAAACAGTACCGTTATCCGTCAGTACAAAGTGCTTTATCCGTCAATACGATTCACGTGAAGTTGTTCCGATTTTCACCGGACTATTTTCAAGTTGACCTGAACTTTGACCTATTGTGTCATGCTAACGTAAACAAACCTGAGTAATGCCTATATATCGTATTTGTAAAATACGATCCATGTGTTTGGTTTTACAAATAAACAAATTATGTGAGACTATGCTGAAATTCAGCATTTTAAGAGAGTCTTTGGTTTTAATAAATTTTTAAAATGTTTATTATCTACAATCGTCAACTGTTCTGAAGTCCTACTGTCGTCTGCTAACTAGGCCCACAGCAATCCGGAAAAATGTCAGAGCATTCCGATGATGAAATCCACGACAAACAGACTTGGTTGATTTCAATTTCGATCTGAACTATGATGTTTTGTTGCCGAATACTGAGGAAGAAATTCAGGTACATTTAGATCTAAATGATGAAAATAACATCGGATGTGTATCAAATATTGACGAAACTGTGCTAGTCAAGCCCCAAGCCCCTGTGTCCCTTAAAGAAAACTTGATGTCACCGGGACCTGTCCGATTGATTGAAATTCCGAATGAATACGAGGAAACACTAATGGAACTGGTTGCAGAGATAAAAAAAAAATGAAATGGAGTTACAGAACATAGAAAAAGCTAAAGATGACCGTCCCCCACCCAATCTACTTGTACAATGCGCAATGAAATATACAACGAACAGAACTATATTTCATTGCGCATTGATATTTTCAAAAGGGGTAAATGCGCTTTTTATGAATGGAAATCTTCTTACGCGACGAAGTGAGGCCGCCGCTTCAGTACAAGCAAAGGTAAACAATATTGCGCTGTATTCGTTTTATGTAAACTTTGTTGAAAAATGGTTGCAGGATAAACAGAATACATGGTCAGTATCGTACAATACAAGGTTTATTTTTGACTCGGAACGAAAAGACTGAGATGGCTCGCCAAAGGCTCGCCATCTCAGTCTTTTCTAACCCTCGTCAAAAATAAACCTTGTATTGTACGATACTGACCATGTATTCTCTATTTGTGTCAGAAACAACTTTTTTTACAATTGCCAAACATTCCCTGTCTTCTAATAAAGAATTGTTTAATTTAAAAAAACCATTTGTTTTGTTCAATTCATTTAATTTAAGACTAATTATTGTCAAAGAATGGTCTGGTCGATAGCTAGGCTATATATTGACTTTTATCGGTACTCGATAATTTTCTGACACAAGAAACCAATCTTATAATTATACACGGTGTGTGTGTTGGAAGGGGATGAGATGTGTCAGTTAATCTTCTGATACCCTAGTTATACACGGTGTGTGTGTTGGAAGGGGATGAGATGTGTCCTTGTTAATCTTCTGATACCCTAGTTATACACGGTGTGTGTGTTGGAAGGGGATGAGATGTGTCTGTTAATCTTCTGATACCCTAGTTATACACGGTGTGTGTGTTGGAAGGGAATGAGATGTGTCAGTTAATCTTCTGATACCCTAGTTATACACGGTGTGTGTGTTGGAAGGGGATGAGATGTGTCAGTTAATCTTCTGATACCCTAGTTATACACGGTGTGTGTGTTGGAAGGGGATGAGATGTGTCAGTTAATCTTCTGATACCCTAGTTATACACGGTGTGTGTGTTGGAAGGGGATGAGATGTGTCAGTTAATCTTCTGATACCCTAGTTATACACGGTGTGTGTGTTGGAAGGGGATGAGATGTGTCTGTTAATCTTCTGATACCCTAGTTATACACGGTGTGTGTGTTGGAAGGGGATGAGATGTGTCTGTTAATCTTCTGATACCCTAGTTATACACGGTGTGTGTGTTGGAAGGGGATGAGATGTGTCCTTGTTAATCTTCTGATACCCTAGTTATACACGGTGTGTGTGTTGGAAGGGGATGAGATGTGTCAGTTAATCTTCTGATACCCTAGTTATACACGGTGTGTGTGTTGGAAGGGGATGAGATGTGTCAGTTAATCTTCTGATACCCTAGTTATACACGGTGTGTGTGTTGGAAGGGGATGAGATGTGTCAGTTAATCTTCTGATACCCTAGTTATACACGGTGTGTGTGTTGGAAGGGGATGAGATGTGTCAGTTAATCTTCTGATACCCTAGTTATACACGGTGTGTGTGTTGGAAGGGGATGAGATGTGTCAGTTAATCTTCTGATACCCTAGTTATACACGGTGTGTGTGTTGGAAGGGGATGAGATGTGTCAGTTAATCTTCTGATACCCTAGTTATACACGGTGTGTGTGTTGGAAGGGGATGAGATGTGTCAGTTAATCTTCTGATACCCTAGTTATACACGGTGTGTGTGTTGGAAGGGGATGAGATGTGTCAGTTAATCTTCTGATACCCTAGTTATACACGGTGTGTGTGTTGGAAGGGGATGAGATGTGTCAGTTAATCTTCTGATACCCTAGTTATACACGGTGTGTGTGTTGGAAGGGGATGAGATGTGTCAGTTAATCTTCTGATACCCTAGTTATACACGGTGTGTGTGTTGGAAGGGGATGAGATGTGTCAGTTAATCTTCTGATACCCTAGTTATACACGGTGTGTGTGTTGGAAGGGGATGAGATGTGTCAGTTAATCTTCTGATACCCTAGTTATACACGGTGTGTGTGTTGGAAGGGGATGAGATGTGTCAGTTAATCTTCTGATACCCTAGTTATACACGGTGTGTGTGTTGGAAGGGGATGAGATGTGTCAGTTAATCTTCTGATACCCTAGTTATACACGGTGTGTGTGTTGGAAGGGGATGAGATGTGTCAGTTAATCTTCTGATACCCTAGTTATACACGGTGTGTGTGTTGGAAGGGGATGAGATGTGTCAGTTAATCTTCTGATACCCTAGTTATACACGGTGTGTGTGTTGGAAGGGGATGAGATGTGTCAGTTAATCTTCTGATACCCTAGTTATACACGGTGTGTGTGTTGGAAGGGGATGAGATGTGTCAGTTAATCTTCTGATACCCTAGTTATACACGGTGTGTGTGTTGGAAGGGGATGAGATGTGTCAGTTAATCTTCTGATACCCTAGTTATACACGGTGTGTGTGTTGGAAGGGGATGAGATGTGTCAGTTAATCTTCTGATACCCTAGTTATACACGGTGTGTGTGTTGGAAGGGGATGAGATGTGTCAGTTAATCTTCTGATACCCTAGTTATACACGGTGTGTGTGTTGGAAGGGGATGAGATGTGTCAGTTAATCTTCTGATACCCTAGTTATACACGGTGTGTGTGTTGGAAGGGGATGAGATGTGTCAGTTAATCTTCTGATACCCTAGTGTGTGTGTTGGAAGGGGATGAGATGTGTCAGTTAATCTTCTGATACCCTAGTTATACACGGTGTGTGTGTTGGAAGGGGATGAGATGTGTCAGTTAATCTTCTGATACCCTAGTTATACACGGTGTGTGTGTTGGAAGGGGATGAGATGTGTCAGTTAATCT